TCTTCTCTTTATATATAATAAAATAATAAATTAATGCTCGGACTCTCGTGTGCAATCGGTCGGAGCGAAAAGGGGGAAATTCGCTCCGATGCAGCACAGCCTTTTATATGTATATACGATGACAACAAAGTCATTTAACCTGCACTCGCGCGTTCATCGCGCCGATATCATTATATTACGAAGCTCGATCGAGATGAAAATTCCGTACGTCACTTTTGATCATTGCACCATATATACTCACGGCTTTCCATAATTTGGTGGGCGGCGACTTGATAAGCCAACCTTCCTGCACTATCTCCTTCGTCGTTGCATCCATCATAGTCTCGATTCTCGTTGTTGATGCTTCGTTTTATATTGTTGCTGTCGTCGTTGTCGCTCGATCAACCGCATCGTCGCGCACTCTTCACCAGATAAATGCATAATACTCAACACGTGAACATAGAGAAGAAGAACTTTTAACTGCTTCGCACAAAATAAACGAACAACAGCAACGACTGTAAACACACTCCTACGCGAGTAGTATCGTTGAATGGCAATTGATAATCACGAGTAGAGCAGCAGCAACAGTATAGCACGCGAGGGCGTCTCGTGTGTTGTTGTACACCGAGCAGTGTCAGCTGCTATATACCGAGCGCAAAGCAATGTACCAGAGTTCGTTCGCGTTCGACACTCCATCCACACGATTCCTCTGTATACTTTGATATTTCTCTCCCCTTCTTGCGAGCGCGCGGACGATGATCGTTGCTCCTCGAGTGCCGCCGCCGCAACTGAGTAATACAGAGAGAGCAGCGCAACGTATTCATCTCTCTTTCTCTCTGCGGGTACTTTATGAAAATATATAAACGTGCATGTGGCCGTTACATACATTATCTCCGTGATTTCAAAGGCGCGGATCGTTTTAGAAAAAAAAGAAAGAGAGTCGAGCTGCTCGAGGGGGAAGAATGAATGATGTCACGCTCGCGAGATAAGGATGAGCTTGGCGGATCGGCACGTAGTTATATAGAAACCGCAAAATTTTGGAAGTTCTTCGAACGGCGAGCTACTGCTTCTTTTTATTTCTTTCTTTCCGTATACAACGCGTGTCCGCGTTGTTGATTCTCTATCTATCTCATATACTGTAAGGAGTGGTCATTGCGATGATATTTAGCAATCGCTGACCCGAACGGACGGACGCGCGTGCAAAAGCGTGTAACGGGTTTATCGAGCGCGTAGTATAATAAGTTGGATGTTGCAATTTTTAGCACACTGTGTTCCGTATCTCGTTCAAGGATATAACAATAATGAATATGTAAAAACGATCGTGAATGAGCAACGACGCGGTTTCGTAAATAAAATCATCGTTCTTATTTTTCGACGTAGATACTAACACCTACCCCTTCACTTTTTTAAATGAAGGAAGTTTGAAGGAAAGAGCAACGAAACCGATGAATTTTAAATATCCTCGCGAAGGCCGATACAATATATTATACCCCTCGCGGATTTAATAAATATATAACAAAAACAAATCCGCTCTTTAACGCGCAGCGTTCGCTGTAGACTCGTGCGTCGCGTGCGTTTTTAAAACGAGAATGAATCATCGGCTGCTGCTGTTGCGCGTGCTGCTCTCGGAGCTGGAGTGAAAAGAGAGAGAGAGAGAGAAAAAGAGCGAAAAACAAACCGTAAGGAACTTGACAGTCTCTCGCGGCGGCCGCAGAGACAGGTTCTTGTAATTCTTTTTTTCTCTTTTTTCGCAATGCAGTGTATAAGACGTACGTGTGTGTATAACTTCATTGCCATGTAATGTAATGTGTACCTATACACATACGGAGAAACGATATATATGCATAACCTTATATAGTCAGGCCGCTCACGCGCTTTTTTACTTCGCGGCTGTCTATTATTGCTGCGTGTGTAAGTATGTGTGTAGTACATACAGCAGCCTCTCGCACACGCCGCCCCAGCAGCAGACAGACAAACACGTCCCTACCTATACCTATATAATGGCAATGAAAATCGAAAGGCCCAGATGATTGCAAAAAATCGTAGTCTTAATATTATTCTCAATAAGGCCTGCCGCCGCCGCTGCTCCGAAATCAGATCGTTGCTCGGCGCGTAACGGAGCGCATCATCACTGAAAGCCGGAATTGATTCATCGATTTACATTGTCTTTTTATAGATAGCGTGATAATAGCGTAACTAGCGGCTCGCGCGTGGATTGTGTTGTTGTTGTTGTTGTGTGTACACACAGTCTTTGGATAATTAAAGGGCTCACAGACATGGTTCGCGTTATCAGCCAAGAGACCTACGATCAGGTCGTGCAGGAGAACGTCCAGGATTTTGACATGACGATCGAGGAGGCCATCGAGGACGCGATCAAGCAATTCGATGCACAGGTGAATGACTCGATACTTATCATAGCTGCATTCGAGATGACGAGTTTTTTTTTCCTAAGAATTTATCGGTGTATTTTGATTTTGTTGTTGTTGTAGTTGCTCAACGCATTTACGCAATCGATTCATTCGTCTCTTAATCGCTATTGATTCATCTCTTAATCTTAAACTTGACACGTCAGATGTAGCGAGATTAATGCAATGAAATTTTTCGCAGGACGTGGATCTGTCCAATGTCATCAAAGATTTGGCTATTACCAACGTCACGTCGAATATCGATCGTTGCATCGGAACACTAAAAGAGTGTGTAAAAAATTCGGATTTCAAGGGAGCCCCTTCGTCGCTGAACGAGCTGAAAGATATACTGGATGCCGACATTGCTCAGAGAGTTTATGCTGGTAAAAATGGAGCGTACACTGTGCTTTTAGATGTGATAAATAGTTGTAAGGATGAGCCTGAGTTACTTATAATAGCTCTGAAGACCATGACTTCTTTAGTGAACGGCAACCCAGATTTGCTGGATCAGTCTGGGATCAAGCTTCAAAAAAGGTTTTTACTATTTTTGTTTTGGTTTTATATGCTAACGTACTCAGTCTTGAAACGATTAATTATGGTTTTTATTATTTTTACAGTTTATTAGATGATAATCAGAATGATGCACAGAAATTACAATTGATCTTGAAGTGGATCAAAGAATGTTGTATCAAGCATGAAATGAACAGACAAAATATTTTTAAAGCAGAAATTTTAGAAAATCTAAAATCTATTTTGACTCAACAGAATGTCAATGATTCTGTTGTCAAGGAGGCCTGCGCTGTTATGAGAGCCCTGACATTGGACGATGACATAAGGCTTGAATATGGAAAAGCTCACGAACATGCAGCTACTATTGCCACAGAGACATTGAAAATTCTCACTCAGTTGTTATCAAGTAAAATACTTTCTTCAAAAATAGTTTTTGTAGAAAAACAGTGAAAATTTACTAACATAATTATTTTAAAGCTTTCCAGTCTGATAAAGTTATAGTTGGAGAAATCATGTTGACAGCAGCTTCTTTGATAGTTAGGAATGAATTTTGTCAAGAGTTTGAGGATGCTGGGGGATTGCAATTCATTTTAGATGTATTCACTAATTATCCGGAAGAAGAAAAACTAAACTGGCAAGCACTAAAATTAATTAAAAGTTTAGCTGGTAATGATGATGTTAAAGCTCACATAGTTACATCGGGAATTGCTCCATTAATCATTTATGCCATCAGTAGATTAAAGGCATGTACCTTTATAATTTATTCAAATTCTAATTTCAATACTTAAGCATTATAATAAATATAAATTTTCATTTCAGAGTTCAGAATACATTGTTACAGCCGGTCTGGCTTGCATTTCAGCATTAACTTTGAAAAGTCCCTCCAACGCCGGAGTATTCTACGATTGTGGAGCTGTGACGATAATTATTGATGCCATCAAATCCCATCCAAAAAGTTCGGGAGTAATTCAACAAGCTTCATGGGCTATCAGAAATATGTCCGTAAGAAATAAAAATGAATCACGAGAATTCGTTGCATATGGCATCGAGGAATTACTCCAAAATGCCCTCAAAACACATGTACATTTAGAATCAGATATTAAGGCTGCATTGAGAGATTTGGGTTTGAAAGTTGAATTTAAAGAACGTTGGACAGGAAAAGGTAAACCAGTAACCAATGATTAACGAAAAATTGTGTTTCTTCACTAATGAAAAGATATGTTTTCGAAAAATTAATGATATTTTTTAAACTATGAAAATAAAGTAAAAATATTTAATTCGTACATGATACAAATAATGAATTTTATGATGTTAAATATTCTCAATTGTTAAGTTAATGTACCACTTAATTTAGATGAGTTTTTTATACAAATAAAAGTCAAATTGAACTTTCTCAAATAATTATATTATTCAAATTTTAAAAAAGCTATTTCAAGTTTTTTAGAATATAATGGTAGAGATATCAACATAACTAGATACACACTATATATGTAGGCAGTTAGTGACAAAGGATGTTAAAAATACCTATCTTATAAAAAATCCATTCACAACGAATAAAGTAACAATAAAATTACATTGAGGCAATAGTATAAGTTGACCATTCTATTCTTGAAGGAATTGAATGATAAAAATTTATTGCTGTTTGGTTCTATGTGCATTTATAAAATGTTCATTTTTCTATTAGTCCATCAATGAATAGCAACAAGTCCTGATTCCAAAAGTTTTTGTAGTTTAGCTGCAATGTCTGGATTTTTTAGATGGCTGTAAAAATGATAAAATAATTAGTTAAATTATTAACGCCCTATGTTTGATTAATTTATTTGTTAAAAATTATACTCACTCTTGTAAAGCTTTAGGATCATTTTGCATCTGTTCCAAGATAAGTCTCATGGCAGGATCTCTGAGAATGGCCTGCACCTCAGGATCAGCCATCGCGCGCTTTCTAATTTCTTCGGGATTCGAGTTAAGAGCAACTGAACACTGGCGGTATCCGTCAATAGCTTCGGCATTGTTCGCGTCTAAATCTAAAGCTTTTTGATAAGCAGTCATGGCCTTTGAGTGTTGCTGCATGCCTTGAAGAATTTTTCCCTTTCTGATCCAGCCCTTGATGAATTTGGGGTCAAGTTCTACGCATTTATCGCAATCTTTCAATCCCAAGTCAAAAGCTGCTAATTTTGTGTAACAGGCAGCTCTGTTGCTGTAGTATTTAGGATCATCTGGATTTCTCATAATAGCTTCTGAGTAGTGCTTTACAGCAGTAGCATAATCACCATCTTTGAACTTTTGGTTGCCAAGTTCTTTTTCTTCTTCAGCCTTGACAGGGTCGATGTATGCCTTGCGTTCTTCTTCCTTAATTTTTTTGTCAATTTCAGATAAAAGACTCTTGATTTCAGGAGTTCTGTGTTCTGACATTGATTTTTCATAATAGACTTTAGCTTGTTTGAGATTATTCATCTTCTTATGTGAATGACCAATTCTGGTAAAGGCCTTGGCTATAAGTTTGAAGTCTGCACGATTTTCACGACCAATGTCAATAGCTTTTTCACATTGAGCTATACACTTTTCAAATTCTTTTTGTTCAAAGTAAACAGCAGCTATATTAAGGTAATATGTGATTTCATTTGGATCTAATTCAACAGCTTTGTTGTAATGTTTCAAAGCATCTTCGAAATTCTTCTTTTTATACTCAGTATTTCCTAAATTTTTTTCTTCCATAGCTTGCCTTTTCTCTGGTGACAAGTTGTCTTCTGGTTTTGGTGGGGCTGGTTTAGGCTCTTCTTTTTTCTGAGGTTTGCTCTCATACTTAGGTGGGTCTACTTCCATACCTTCATCACCATCCATTTTCATACCCAGAAGAACACTTAAAGTAGTAAGTACTCGTGGATCAGAAAGCTTTGAACCTGTTAACAAGTCAATTTAAAATATTTTTTAAATCATAATTATCAATAAATTATAACAATTTTTTTAATTTAAATCAAATAGTTGCTTACCTAAAGATCTTGAGTTACTCTTGAGTTCTTCCAATAGTTTTAAATAATCAGGATCGTCCATCCACTGTGATGTCCTTGGGTCCATTTTCAACTTCATGTATACTTCTGGACCAGCGAAGGGGTTGGGGAAGTTGGAACCAAACTGTTGAGATCTAACTTCTTGTAAGCTAGTTTTAATTTGTTCATTGGTTGGGTCCAACATTAAACCTTTTTCATATGCTTCAATGGATTCTTCAATTCTGTTAAGATATGCCAGAGCACTGCCTTTCCTAGAGTAGCCTTTGGCCCAGTCAGGTTTCAACGATACAGTTTTCTCTGCATCTTCAAGGGCCTGATGGAATTTGCCACTCTTTGCATAAGCTGCAGATCTGTTACTGTAAAGTACATGATTTTTACCATCTAACTCAATAGCTTGAGTATAGAATTTGATGGCATCGTCAATATTATTAGCAGCCAAAGCTTTGTTTCCTTGATCCTTCAAAATGTTAACCTAAAGAAAATAAATATTTGTGTGAGAAGAATAATAATAAACTTTGAAGAATAATAATAAAATGATAATATAATGATAATTATGATTGACTTTAGTTAGTACTTCAAAAGATGTTCATGACTTGCTGTGTTTACATTTACAATGAAAATTTTCCTCTATAGAAGTCAGAAATTAACTGAAAAGATCGTTAAAAAAAAATTTGAAGTTAACTGAATAATTAATCCAAGAGGGCTCAGAAATATAATTTCTCTCCATTTATGTGTTAGCCATTAACCATGAAAAAATAATCTATCAAAAACCGGCAAAACTCCGGCTGACTACCGTTCGGAAAAACCTCGATCATAAAGAGTAACTTTAACGTATTGAATTCGTATTTCTGACGAAATCAAGCAAATCAATGAAAAAAAAAAAAAAAAACCGCCC